CAGCGTTTCGTGTTATCGACAGTGATTGCTAGGCGAGGGTTGTCGCTCACCGGCCGTAATAGATTCATTAGGGCAGGCACCATCGCCACCCCCGGCGCATCCTCGCTGCCCCAGCTTCGCGTGCGCGTACTCTCTTTCATTTTCTGTCACTCGATCACTCATTCGCACGTAGTATCCGTTACTGACTCATCTATCCGTTCGATCGTGCCGTTATGCAATGATACGTTCATTTGTACGTTCGTCGGCGCATTCCGTCACCTTTAGGAAAAACCGGGGCAACATGTGTATATTTTTCGGAATTTCAGAGTTACAACTTTTCAGATAACGAATCGCTGTGATTCACTGTACATACATGATAAAGACAGTCTTTTCCTATGTTTTTATGCCATCAATGTTCTTGTAAATCGTATATTTCGTTTTGTAACAACCGAAAACTCACTTTCCTTCTGGAAACGTACAGAGTTAGAGCAGTTGACGGTAATGCGAGGGTGATACAATAGACTTTGGACACAAGTATCTTAGACGACTCTTGAGGGTTTCTACCAATAATAGTAATAATAATAATAATAAAAGAACAGAAATACACACGTAGTTACAGCACATGGTGCTGTAACGTGACCATTTCTGACACTGAATCAAGTTGACTAGCAATCTAGAGTAATGTAGGATTTATACTGTTTCGAAATTCGACATATGGACGTCCGAAATCCAACAAAAAAATTATTCAGGAACAAGCTGGGAAAAGCTGGAAAGTTTAAGAAACAAATTAGATATCGTCGTACACAGTCCGATGATTTGTCGATAGCATGAGAATCGTAAAGTCTTGGGGGCTTATGAAAAAAATAAAAAAAAATCATAGATTTACAAGTTATCATATGACATATGATCCGCATAGAATTACAGGTTTACTCATAAGTTTTTACGAGTTTTACGAAAACAAGTTACGAGTTTTACGATTTTGTCTAGAATTGCAGTATAACTCTCCACGGTCTCCTGCCGACCTGTAAATATTGACTAACTTTACTTCGATTTCAGTTATCTTATCTATGAAAATTGCTTTTACTATCTGATACAGTGTATTATACGCAGAAACTTCATTCTTATTAATAACACGCATTTAAGTTTATTCATTCATGATGAAGCGTATTAATATTAAATTTCAAGACATTTGAAAGTACTGGCTGCTTACATATCAATTTTTTCTATTTTTTAATTGTAACATTATTCTGATTTTAATAAAACTCAGGAAAAGATTCTACGTTCTAAGAAGAATATTCTGTCATCTCTGAAAACCGCGATTCCTTTCTTCTTGGCACTGTAATTTTATTGCAATATTACAGCAAATCCTCGTGACTAAAGCAATATCGCGTTTTATTATTAGCCTTTCTATTTCTCTCTCTTTCTCTCTCGCTTCCCCTTAGCCATAAACACAATATTATGTATTCATAAAGCATATGATTCTTGATAATTATATAAATAAAGCACATGATTCTTAATCTAACTAGACCTGAAAACCGTCACTATTATCTGCGCAGGCATATATATTTGCTCAGAATAGCAATCGGCTGTGCGAAGCGTTCAGCTCCGTGTTGTTCCGTAATTTAAGTTAAACATTCATTCTTATTTCCTTGTTTCTTCTCCCTTAACGTCACGAAATTTGAAGAATATCTATCGAGTACGTCTTTCACTACCTTATTTGTTAGATAGAGATGCAAGATAGTCTGAATCGGAATCGACTCGATGGTCGCACGATAAACGACGCGCCGTTCTGAAATTTTTATTCATCGATTAAGTTTTTTCACTCGTGTCATGCGTGCGCATTTTTCAAACGCTGTGTGTATAATCTGGTCCAATTTAATCGATCATCAGTTCCTGGCTGTTCCCTCTCTTTCGTGCGCTCGACCCTCCACGGATACCTCGAAAATCTAATTATCGATCGGTAATCAATATCGCTGCAATTTGGCGACGCGCCAAAGCGCAGCGTGCCTTTGTACGTGCATTCGTGTACGCGCTCGACGACCCATCGCGTTGTCGGTTGCAGTTTTTCTCGCGAACGAGTGAACGATCGGATTCTCGGGTTGTGAGCAATGCGATTAATTGCGTAGGACACGGATCTTTAGTGATTCTGGACGGTGAACGTAATTCTTGTATGCTTTCCGTGTGATATAGAAGACATATTTCCTTTGACTTCTTCGATAAAAAATACAAAAATATTTTATATGCCTTAGTATTTCTATTCATCGTAGATTGAAATATTGCGATGTTTTAATGTATTCTTTTCCCCAAGTTTTAATCTTGAATCTTGCGCGAGTTGCATGAGCGGAACAGATGCGAATACATATTCATATATTCTTCGATTTCGCTTCCGGCGCTGTTCTTCATTCTGCTTTTTTATATTTTCTGAAAACCGCGATTCTCTTCTTCTTGGCATACTGTAATTTTACTACAATATTACAGCAAATCCTCATGACTGAAGCAATATTAGCATTTCTCTTTCCTTTTTCTCTCGCATTCCATTAGCCACAAACACAATATTATGCATTGAAAAAGAATTAAATGGATTAACCAAATATCTGAGGTATAAACGAACCAAAATTCTGGTTGAAATTACTAGAATTCTGTTCAAGTTAACAAGATTTTTAACTTGAATTGTTTAATTGGAAATAGTTGCAGAAGTCTTGCTTGCTTGTTTAACTAGAATTTTGATAACTTGAATAGAATTCTGGTAACTTCAAATAGAATTTTAGTTCGTTCATATTTCACCAGATATTTGGTTAATCAAATTCTCTTTTTTTCGTGTATGTCCGTATTATTAATTTTACGAATCGGTCATTTTAATCCTGACACAGTATTTCGTTTCTTTTTTCTTGGCTGAAATGTTTAAAAGTTTAAAATTAAGAAGTTAAGAAATTTCACTGACGGAAGTCAGCAAGAAAATCTTCAGGTGAGAAGAAAAGATAATGGAACCTCGCTTCCGTTTTTCATCCTCATGGCTACAGTGGAGGTGGATCATCAGTCGCCTCCCGCGATCCTCGCTTCTTTGTGAAAGTTTGAATACGTAGACAACGTCTGGTTTTGCAGGGACCATTTCTTCTGGAGCCCCGCATCCGTCGCTCCTCCGTCGTTTGTCATTCGCTGCCAGGAGTGTGCCGCGAATTCAGCGGAGAAGTTGAAAAGGAATCGCCCGCGACTTGTTCCCGTTTCGCGGCTGCGCAAGCGGGCCGTGCAATAATTTGCCGGATTCATTGTCTGGGAATTAATTCCCCATTTCGCGCTTCACGAATGCCCGTTGACGTTCCTTTGTATTTGACCGTCGAGAATGAAGTTTAAATCCTCTCGTGATAGCGAAATATGCCGGAAATCGGAGATACCTTGCCACTCTGCCGTTTGCTCTACCGATTCTATCTGACGTGCATTGTATGGGAAAATATACGCTGTACGAGACATACATGCATCCCATTGAAATCATCGATTCTTCTCCAATTATTTCTAAATTTAATAGCTTTGTTATATGAGTTCAGCGCGCGTTTGCGCTCGCTCGTAGCTGTGCAGGGTTTCGAAGCCGAGGTTGTGGTACTCGCAATTATTAAAATAGATTCGACACTCGTACACATTCGCATGTCTGACAGTAAAATGTTCATTAGATCATAAAAGCGTGATACCTTTGGTCTGGAAAATCGAATTATACCCCGTGAATCGTTAGCCCAGCTTCGATAAATAACTCATGGATATTAATAAACGTGTCGCACGCGGTGAGATAAATGCGCTTAAAGCGTAATCCGCATTGTTATGTCATTACATACATACGTTGTATACATGCCATAATTACTCATATTCGAGGCCGATCCAAAATAAATTGACCCGCCGACAAAGAGACGCGCAAAGACCACGTATTGCACTCTGCGACCGGTCGATATCCGCATCCTGATACCGTTGGCCTTTGTGTCTGGTGATGCAGCTCTGGACGACGCGATAGACCGGAGCGGGTGCCGATAATCATTTTTCTCTCGCTTTCGACAAGTTCGTCCATATACCCGCGACGGTGGTTCCTGTCAAAAGCAGTGCCGGCGTGGTTTACGGCCACCACCCCTCCCTCAGAAGGGAGGGGACGAGGAAGGATTTCGACGAGGCCCTCCGGTCGAGCATAATGCGCCCATTATCTTCAGTCCTTTCGTCTATTCCGCATGTGTACACTGCCTATATAATGTACCGGGTGTCTGCGTAATTTCGCGCCTCCTCCATTTGCTCAATTTCTCTCTCTCTCTCTCTCTCTCTCTCTCTTCTCCTTCCTCTCTCCCTCCCTCTCCATCACCCTTTCACTCTGTCTCTGTTTGTCTCTTTCCCCTCCGTCGTCTCATTCTTTGCTGTCGCGAATGGCCGTGACACGATCGTAAAGCCTAAAGAGGCATTAGATGATGCTCGAACGGGTCGACGAATACGAAGAGGATGGAAAGGGGTGGCTGGGGTGGAGCAGGATAGGACGTCTCGCGTCAGGCGAGAGAAGGCCAGGAACCATTACGGTAATATCCTACGGACGGAGGAAGTGATTTTTAAGGAGACGAGGCCGCCATTTCAAGGCAATTTCGCCTTCCCCGTGAGCTTTTTCGTTCTCTTTCTGTGGCGGCCCGAGTACTTCCCTCGTGCTTCCCTTACAACAAGACGATTATGAAAATTTCGCACCGTTTTCGGGATCCTCGCCTCGCGCGAGAGCAGGCTTTGTATAGCCGGGGACATCTTTTCACGCGTAAATCTTTTGGACTTTGTCATCACGGTCGATGAATTCCCTGCGGCTGCTGCCACGTTAAGTCGGAATATTTTAGGACAGCCAGGATATATTCCCCTTTTTGTGAAATATAATCGATGAAAATTACATAAGTAACTTATCGTAACTCTCAGCATTTCCGTTACGTAAGATATTTTATCTTGTTTTTCTTTAGCGAATAGCATTAATTTGGGAATCAAAGTGTTAAAATTTAAAAAATTTTGATCGATTTCCTCAGATCCGTCAGCGTCCGGCTCATCCTGCGAGGACGATGAGGAGGGTCGGCTCATTAGCGTGAGGAAACGGAAAAACAGTCTCTACGCGTCTTCCTCAACCCGAGCTGCGTCGGTGGATCGAGACACCTTAGCTTCGACCGACGGCTTAGTTGTAGACTGCGTCGCTCTCGTGCATCTCACCGATCAGTCGCCGACTGAGTCCAGTCAACCGGTGCGTCATCCATCGCCGTATTATTACGGCGATCTCTTCAAAGTCCCGGAACAATTGCCCACCAGATCTCAACCGAGCAAGTATCGCAAAAGCGTCAGCCTCGATGTGCCGGGCGAGCGTTCGCGCACACCCGGTATACCGAAGAGGAACTCGGTAGCGGGTGATGGGGGCTCCTACTCGTCTCAGCAACGGCATTATCAGCAGCAACAACAGCCGCCGCATCCACCGCCGCCGCCGCCACCGCCGCACTATCAGAGCCAGGATCTAGTGAGCCCCACGTCTGGGAGCGAGCATGCTGCCCCGGCCAGAAGCGAGATCCTCTCGTCGTGCATCATCACCGAGTGGGATCATACCCTCATGCCTCCTCATAGACTACTGAGTCATGATCTGCCTACCGCCGTTTGTACCTGCATCGCATCACCTGAGGAGGAAGAGGATGAGCTAGATCGACGGCAGCCGCAAGTAGCGCGGCACCAGGTGCGCAAGCTACGACGTACGCGGAGGATAGACCCGCAGCCGATACTCGTCGAAGACGAGGACGACGTGGAGGGTGAAGACGAGGGTGAGGAAGAGGAGGAGGAAGACGCGGAGCCCGAGGAGGACGAGGACGGAATGGCTAGACAACGTCACCTCTACGAGACGGCCTTCGACTGCAAGGTCAATCGTTCCGACGATGATCTTGACGATCTCGATCGTGTTACCAACCATCCGGTGCTGCACTCCCAGGTATGTAACATTAGAGAATTTTAAGTGCGAGGAAAATTTTGTAATATAAATCTCGAAAGGGGAAGGGAGAAAGATATTTCTAAAACGAGATATATCGAGTTAAGTGGGTTTGTGGGATTCCACATTTATGATAACTCTCAACGAGCTTAACCTTTCGAGTGACAACATATTTTCGTTACTTTCGGAGTAGCAAACAGAATTATTAGTGTCTTTCTTAATTTTTCTCGCTTTAAAGTGCTCGAAGAAATTTCCGAAAATTATTGAAACTTCCTTTACTCTTCTAATCGAAGATTACTTCTTCAACTAGAAGCAACTTCTCTATAAAAAATAAATTGCTAAAAATTTCACTTTCAATGTTTTTTAAACGAAAAACTGTTTCAAGAATATTCGGCTACAAATAACCCTAGTTACCCCATTCTAAATGTTAAATAATATCTCAAGTCTAATCCGTAAATTTTTTTCATTTATTTAACGACTATTTTGTATGTTATCCGAAAGTAGATCTGTGTGTCCAATTCTTCATGTACTTATTTATATCTTTCAAATTGACGTATTTCATTAAATTTATTTCACTTAAAGTACAAGAGGTTGTACGAGGTTCTGTTCTTGCATTTGCGTGGAAAATAAATTGTGATCATACAGATACGGAGCAGCAGCGCTGCATTACCGAGTAGAACGAGTTCGTCGACAGACACGTCGAAGCAGCAACATCAGCAGTCACTTCCTTACGCCGGCCAGTCGCAATCAAGCAAGGACCACCGACGCAAAGTCGTACTTCTCCGCCCAAAACCAATTCCGAGCCGCCTACAGCAGCAGCAACAACAGCAACAGCAGCAGCAGCAACAACAACAAACGCAGCAACAATCAGACAATATATCAACTCTATCCCAGGACATCGAATCCCTCCAGATCAACTCGAGCGATGAGAAAACTGGATCGCCGAGATTACCCGCTCGCGATTACACGCCATCGCCTCCATCTACCGCACCTTTACCCGCGAAATTTCACGGTAACCGAGACCACTTGCTACTGAACATCCGTAGCGCGCCGAATTTACCGTCGCAGCCGGATCATCCTCGGCTGAAGGACATGAGATTACCCATGAAATCGTTGCGCGCAAAAGACTCGCCGCAGAGCAGCGAAGGCAGCATTCTTGAGATCAAGAGTCGGCCGAAGACCTTCGTTCAGGAGAACATCGACTCCTCTCAAGGGCGTCGATTCGACAAGGAACTTATCCTGGAGTTCAAGGGCAGGCCCCGGGAAGATAGACAACGACCTCGCAGTCTAATCCGCGAGAGTAGACCGGTAATGGAGTTTAAGGGTAGGCCTCACGAAGCGGAGAGCGATATTGCACGACCGCGAAGAGATACCGGTCCGTTGGAGTTCAAGCTGCGCACGTCAAGACGCCGTGTTGGCTACTCCAGCACCGAGAGCATGGCTACAAGCAGCAGCGGCGGTAGTATGGAATCTCTGCGGAGCAGCACCAGCGAGGGTAACCGGTCGACTAGTAGCTCCGAGAGTCGGCACAGCACCAGTCTGAGCTCCCACAGTTCGGACAGCGGCGGCACCAACTGCTACCATCATCATCAGCTACCGTCATTACCCGGCTTCCTGACTCATCACGCCACCAAGTTGCACATCCTCTCGCCTATCTCCGACAAGTCATCGCAGGAGCCCGCCTCGGAGACCTCTGACAACAATCGCAATAACAACTCGCAGAAGGCCTCACCCGAGGAATGCGTCACATCGGAAAATAACATCACCGCGAGCAATAACACGAACGCGGCTAACACGAACGTAGTCACCTCGCCCATGGACACGTCCTTCAAGAAAAGGCGAGCGCCACAAAACAAGAATCTCATCAACCTGGCCTTGCAGTCGTCGTCGTCGGGCGACGCGGAAATTCAAGGATCGGACAGCGGCATCTCCATCGAGTCGCGCGCCGGAATTAAGTGCAAACCTTTTGGTTTCCACTTGTTGAAGCCACAGCTAGACAATATCAATTTTGTCGACAACGAGCCGGAACTCTCGGATCTGCCCTTCGATATGCCGAAGTTACGTAGGAGACGTTTGCTGATGCAACAGGACGCCACTACATCGGGCAGCGCGACCAGTGTGGATTTGAGAGACCTGCCGTTTGACATGCCAAAGCTCAGAAAACGACTCAGATGTACCCAAAGTACCGAATCCAGTGCGTCTCAGGCATCGTCTAGTCTTTCTGTACGCGACGTGGAGCCGCCTCCTTTATTCGGTGAGTTTTTGTTACACATGGAAAGAACATTTGCAATCATTGAAATTTCCATTTTAATATAAAATATACAAAAGATACATGGAAAAAGTTTAGTTAGATTAATCACAAATTTCTAGGAAAATATGAACGCAATTCCGATTAGAATTATCAGAATTTCCTTCAACAAAATTTCTGAACTAAAAATTTTTTCTCTATATTTTTTTACATTTTATACCATGTTCGCAAAAATAGAAATTTTAACAATTGCAGGAAATGTGGACACTATATAAACGAGATCTGTGTACACACTTTCTGCTTTGTGATTATGTGGCTTCTAAAGTGTGTCAAAGTAAAAGGGAAGTACGATGAGCAAGTCTCGCCGCTCAGAGGTCAGCTAGCTCAAACGAGTATTTCGATCGAAATCCCTTTTCGAGGATGATTAACGTTAACGTGAAGCCGCGAGGAGCCCCAGGTTTAGTTTCCTCCTTAATCGAGCCTCTAGCCATTAAAACGATAAAAACCGTACTTTCGGCACTTCGAGGTAAACTAAGTACTCATCAGGAGCGCGAGGGGGCTACCGTAATTTGATGCTGATCGTTATGAACCTCCCAGACAACGGCTAACATCGTTAAGCTTCACTTAGCTGCTCCCAACGATGTTCACTACAGACATACGCCTCTTTGTCAACCGTGTATCGATAGTAGACTTTAATGGCGAACATACACATGTATCCGCCATATGGAGAGAATATTAAAGTTTTTTCTTTATATACTTTCTTTTTAATTTAATTATGTTTCTAGTGATGCAAGAATAATCCAAGAATAAACTGTCAGTAAAGTCGATCTTGCTGAAGAACGCAATAAATTTCGCCAGAAACACAGCAAGTATTTTAACAGCACACTTCGATCCCTAAAATACAAGTAGTATATACGAAATGACACGACAGTGAATTATTATCGAAAATGTTGGCCTATTGCTTGCTTCAAAGCATTTCTCGGTCATAAAATCCTATAAAAATTTTTATTCTAAAATTCTTTCCGTGCACTGTTACATACCGTTTCAGACTTTGTTATTCTAACGCAAGTGTTAATAGTAGTACAAAGTACTAAAACGATCGCGAATGATTCGCCTCACGATTTAAATATTAAATACGTTCGACATAGCAATGAATGCGCTTCTTTTGTTGCTCCGATAAATCGTCGACATTAATGCGATGTGACAATTAGAGCACGAGCGGTAATTGCGAGCCAATGCAGCGGCAGTTACAATGTATCAAGTGATATCGAAGTAGCGGGCAATGCGCAATTTAGATCGCATTAATATCGTCCGAATCACACGGCATCGATAATTTATCGCCAACGAGTGAATCTGGCCCGACGTGAGACCACACGCAGTGTGCAGTGCGCGAAGCGTTTGGAATTAGTCGGGTGATTAAGCCGCCGTCGCCGCAACCCTCCGCCTATTTTCCCCCGAAGCTCTATCGTCCGACCTGATGGGAGTTTGAACGCGCGTCGTCTACCCTCCGAGTTCCGAAATTGCGAAAGCTCTAATGCGAGAGCTTCGCGGAACGAGCTTCCTGCGCCGCGTACGGCCTATCTACGGCCTGCGAAAGCTGCGACCTGCTTGGTGGTGTTGCCAACCTGGCGGGAGGGGTCAGTAAATGCCAGTAGATTGAGGTTAGGTTCAGGTTATATGCACAGTGCTGATGTATGGACCAACTTGCGGGTCAGCAGGCGAAAAAAGGAATAAAGGATGGGCGTTAGATCGAGAGAGAAAAAAAGTTGGACCGACAAAATCGGTGGTCACTCGTTTTCAAAAAAATTTTTTAAATAAACTTGGTTAATATAACGAAAAAAAAATGAAGAAGTAATATTACAAAGCACGCAAAAAGAAGAAGAAGAAAGAAGAGTGCCAGAAAAAGAAGTGACAGTGTTGAAGCTATCAATACTGCTTTATTTGAACCTAAAGAAGAAATCTAGTAATAGTACAAAAATCAAATTTTGTTGAGAAAAATGTAATTTCCCGCAGCAGATGGAATTGAAAGGAATTGCGTGAGGGTGCGCCCGTACAGAGGGAAATAGGGTGTTGTAATGTTTCTATAAAAGAGTAAACGAAATTTAATAGTCCAATGTCAAAGACAAGACTGGTGCTGACTGCGCGTGTCATACAAATCAATCAAGTGATAATCATCAGTTGTAATGTAGCAGAGAGTACAGATAAGGAGATATTTCTGATTCGAAAAACGCTATAAATCGGACAGCACAGATGTAACATATCGTTAGTGAATCTTGAGTCAGTTAGTGTTGGTAAGCTAGAGGAATATGTACTTCCTGATATCAATACGGAGAAAAAGAATTTTGTATACGTTATATATACGACACAGAAATTACTGGGACTTAAAGTTGGGCATATAGACAATGTCTGCACGATTAAAGTGAAATGGTGATGGAATAGGAACTTTTTGCATAAAGAGTTTTTGAGGATATTGCATTTGTTGTTGTATTCAATACAATTGCAATACAATTGCATTTGTATTCTATCTATTGGATAAGTTGCGTTCGTTCAATCGACTAAACGTTTGCTCGAACGAATTTTGTTCGTTCAAGCAAAGTCTCATTAACTCAACCACTCTTTTTTCTCAGTGCATGGAGAGAGCAGCGCGGAACTATTTTTATCGGTCGGTCGAATGTCAATAAAGGCACGGGATGCCCTGTAAATCCGTTTTACTCGGAGTTACGAGGTCCTTGGGAGCCGCTCTTTCTCTCCTGGCTCGGGGAAAACGGATGGCGAGCGACGGCGACGGTGGCGGTGGTAGCGACGGAGCTAGCCGACGACGACGAGTGATTCCTCGTACCGTGAAATACGCCGACGCGGATTTATTTAATCAATTACGGGCTCCGGCCTCTCTAAAGCACGGCTCGCTGTGTGTCGTTGCCTGGGTGATTTAATGCACGGCGATTATCACCCGCCGACCGTCCAGCTGCTATGTTTGCGAAACGAATTATTGCTATTTTTGCACTGTTACCCGAGAATATCACACGTGATATTATGGAACACTTCGAAGTGTACACATTTGGAAAATAAGATAAAAATACTAATGCCTGTCTCTCTATACACGTATCTAATTTTGGACGTTTTTATTTCTTTTATTCTTTAAGATTCCTGGATACTTTCTCTGGATTGATGACGTCAGAAGCGAGGAAACGCATTCAACGCACATTCAAAATTAACGTAACATGCAATCTTCTTTAACCTATTTTTCCTGATGATTTTACCATTTTCATTTTATAGCTACTTATCGACTGTCAAGGAAAAAAGATAGTTTTCGAACATTTTGAAAGTTGTTCAAGCGATCTGAAGTGTTCTTTCATACAAATATTTTTTTATGTGGAAATAACACGCAAGAATTTTCAGCGTGTTATTTCTCGCTTCTGACGTCACGACGCTTCTAACACGACTGCGGTGAGTAGCCAGGAGCTTCAAATAGAAATATATAACAGTCCTAATTATGGACCAATTTCGTCCCAATTTCGGATCAAACCTGGTTTATTAATGCATTAAAATATAAAATATTTAAAATATAAATATTTTTTTATATTCTTTCTTCTTTTTATAAATTTTTACATTCCAAAGTTATACTCACAAATACTGTTAATATATCTTACCTCAAATAATTAAATTGGAACTTTTTCACTTCTTTTTCGAGCGAGTATAGTAGAATAAAATAATTTGGTCATTCGCGAAATCGATTTCTTTCTCCCAGAGCGCGATTATATTCGTTACATTGATCCGATAGAATCCGACTGGTCGGTGAAGCGGCGGATGTCGATGTAAAAACAAATTGAGAACGAAGAGCACGACGCACTCGACGAGGCCTCTGATAGAAGCGCCGACCATGTCATTCAGTCGGAACCGCTCTTTGAGCAACTATCTCGTACGTCGAAAATATGAATAAATAGCCGTCGTCTGGCTCGAGTTTAATCAATGCGTGCTGCTAAATACGTGAATACACCGTGTGCACGTATACACCGGTTGCCGCTCGTTTCCGTTTGTCAGATAACGAAGGTGCAGTTGTCATTCCGCGCTCTCCCGCGCGCCGATGTCACCAACTACTTCGATCGCGGCTGGCCGAACATTCGCATGTGTTTCACGGATGACGCGTTTTTCGTCTCTGAATTGTACGCGAGAGGCGTGCAATAAAACCCTCGTGATTTCGTGCAACCATGGGCAGGCTTTAACGACGGAGACAGCCGTGCACTCGCCCGAAATACGCACGCGGTTATAAAAAAAAAAAAAACATCGCATATGCCAAGAGACTGCCTAAAATTTAATGAACCCGCGCTGTTAAGTACGAAATAAAATTCGTAGCTGCAAAATTCAAAGCTGCAACGTGCACAAAAACGGGAAAACGAATGAAAATATTTTATTTGTCGTTTCGCGCAAATTATGCGGAGCGCGCGTAGGTTCTCCCTGCAATATCCCACGTCTCGCGACTTGGCAGCCAGCTGCAAGCGAATTGGATCAGTAATATTTTTTCCGCTTGATGGATGTCGGCCGGCCGGCCAGCCGGCTCGGATTCGTAAATTACCTTTTGAAGAGGAAGGAAGAAGGGGAACGCGAGGGAACGAGATGACGAGTGCGTTAGCACGTGATCGGGACCAGATTTCTCCAAAAGATATACGCTTTTTATGCGTTTAGTTGTCGACAATTACTTTCCGCTAGCTCGGAGGCGCGCCGGGAGGGGTGTGATCGATCGATCTTCTCGTTCTCGGCTATCGCACGTGGCTAGCGACTCGTTTTATCAGTACGTTGTGAACAGGTCGTCGATCAAGATAAACCATCTTGAGCGATGGGACCATTCAGTTTTTACCGGCGGTACATTTATCGACGTTTCCGTTTCCCGGCACGATCGGCATTATTAGATTGTTATTTTGCTAGTTGTGTTATTATTGACAATTTCACTAGTGATACCGCTTATTTGCCTTCTATCAGAATAATTGAATTAGCTGTTTCCTTGATAT